TTATTCTCTTAAAGTTTGGAGGCCAGAAATCCAGTTAAGATGTCAATAGGATTGGTTCCATCTGCAAGCTGGTTTGTGCCTCTCTCCAGACTTCTTTCCAGTGGCTGCTGGCAATCTTCAATGTTCTTTGACTCATAGATGCATCATTTCCTTCTCGGCCTCCATCTTCTCGTCACCTTCTCCACTGTGTGTTTCCTTTGCTCTTCTGTCTCTTATGAAGACACTGGACATGGATTTAGAGGCCACCCTGGCAATCCAGGATGGTCACAACTCAAGATCATTAACTTGATTGTATCTACAAAGACTCTCCAAATTGGGTCACATTCACTGGTTTCAGAGATTAGGACACAGATATTTTTTAAGGAGGACAGTGGTTATTCAACCCATTACAATCCCAAACTATGACTATGAATTTGCCTGTCTTTCCTCTTTGTTCTAGCAATCTTTACTTTATGTATTTTAAACATGTTATTAAATGCATGAAAATTTTGGTTCATTCTTTCTGCTGAACTGACTATTTTATCATAATGAAATGTCTCTCTTTACCTCTTATAATACTTCTTGCCTTAAAATCTACTTTGTACATTAACACAACTATATAAACTTTTTTTCTTGTTTTTGTATTATGTGTGTTTTAAATCTTTTACTTTCAGCCCTTCTTTGTCTTATATTTAAAACTTCTCTCTTATAAACATCACATAGTAAGGTTTTGTTGTTTTATTCGATCTTTCTTAGTTGTTCATTGGTGTGTTTGGAACATTTAAATTTAATAATAAAAATTTAAAATAAATAAATAAATTTAATCTAGTTACTGATAAGTCTAACTCTTGATTATTTGTTTTCTCTTTGTTTCATGTGTTTGTTCCTTTATTCCTCATTTCTCACATTTTTTAATTTATCCAGTATTTTTATTATTCTATTTTCCCCAGTAGCTTTTAAGTTATTCTTAAATGACTACTCTAGAGATAGACATCCTTGATTTACTATAGTCTACTAAAATTGTGCTTTTACCACTCTCCAAACAATGCAAGTACCCAAACTATTAATATTTAATTCCATTTGTCTTCCCCCTCTTTTTGTATTGTTGTCATACATTTTGCAAAAAGAAAAGCTTCAGCTGAATTAAATTTAAAAGAGTTTAATTGAGCAATGAACGATTAGCAAATCAGGCAGCCTCCTGAGCCAGAGTAGGCCAGAAACTCCAGTCCAGCTGCATGGTAGAAGAGGATTTATGAACAGAAAAAGGAAAGTGATGTACAGAAAACAGAAGTGAGATACAAAAACAGCCGGATTGGTTATAGCTCAGCGTTTGCCTTATTTGAAGACAGTTCAAACAGTTGGCCACATGTGATTGGCCAAAACTCGATGATTGGCATAAGAGTAGTCTACGGTCTGTTTACATCTTCACTTATTATAATTCGCAGTGTACAGAGAAACCTTGAGGCTGAGCTTAAACTATGTAAGGCTTTAGGTTACACTTGATTTAACAAATTACATATATTCTATATTTCAAAGACACTATATTTCAAAATAAATAAAAACAGTATTTATTTATATTTACACCGTAGTGAATTCTTAGAATTTTCATGTTACCTCAGCATCCATTTAGAATATGTTTACCTTTCTCATGCCAGAAGCAGAGCTTAGTCACCCTTATTGCCCTTTCTAGTTCTGTACCTCCTCCCAGTTTTCAATGTGGTCGAGCCAGATATCTGTCTTATACAACTGCCTCCTGGTGACCACCTCTCTATGGGACAGCTAGATAAAACCTACTTGACTCGCATCCCTGACCTCTGTGCCCTGCATGGACTTCGCAGATATGCTGCCATGACCACCTCTCAGTCGCAGCATGCCTTCCTGGAACATGTGCCTGCTTTCTTTAAACTCACCAGTTAGAACTCCCCATGGGAGATGCCTGCTGGGTCATACTCTGGTCCCCAAGAAAGGCGTTGGCCGATGTGTCCCCTTCTCTCTCTCTCTCTCCATTCCTCGCACTGACCAACCTTTGTGTGATCTTCAGGCATGCCGTGCACCCCCAGCCCATAATAAAATATTTACTTGCATCTTGTGTTTCTTCTAATCATTGAAGAAGTTTTCTCTATCACAAAGATCCTAAATGAAAACATACTCACATATGAGCTCTTTCTGGTGTGTTTCCTTGTTATTGCAATTCTGTCCATTCTATATGAAACTATTTTCCTTCAGCCTGAAAAAGTCTCTGGCATTTTTGTATTGTAGATCTTCTGAAAACAAATTCTTTAAACATTTTTCTAATTGTGGTTCCTTTGAAGGTTATTGTCCATGTTTCTTGGTTTCTTTTAAAATGGATTACACTTTAAAATAGATTTTTTACAATATTACTGTGTTGTGTCTAGGTAAGAATTTCTTTGTATTGCTTGGGTTTGCATAGTTGGTTTTTTTGTTTGTTTGTTTGTTTTTTGACAGAATTTCACTCTTATCACCTGGGTTGGAGTGCAGTGGTGTGATATCTCGGCTCACTGCAACCTCAGCCTCCTGGGTTCAAGTTATCAACCCACCTCAGCCTCCCAAGTAGCTGCGATTACAGGCCTGTGCCTCCATGCCTGGCTAATTTTCATACTTTTAGTAGAGATGGAGTTTCACCATTTTGACCAGGCTGGTCTCGAACTCCTGACAGAAGGTGATGTGCCCACCTCAGCCTCCCAAACTGCTAGGATTACAGGCGTGACCCACCACGCCAGGCCTGTATAGCCTTTTGGATCTGTAATTTAATGATGTCTTGCATCAGTCTTGGAAAATTCCCAGTTATTACTTCTTCAAATGTTGTTTATGCTCTGTTATCTCTCTCTTCTCATTGAGGGGCTTCAGTTAAACATGTTAGGCTTTATTCTTCTATGTAGTTAGTCTGTATTTTTTAATCTTTTTATTTATTGTTGCTTTGTTCTGAGTATTTTCTTCTGTTCTAGCTTTCAGTTCATTGATTTTCTTTCAGATTCTAACCTGCTATTAATCTCACACAAACTCTTAATTTCAGCAATCATATTTTACTTTTAGAATTCTAGAGTTTTTTTTATTTTCCAAATCTGCCCTCTTCGTTTTTTTTTTTTTTTTTTTTTTTTTTTTGAGACAGGGTCTCACTTTGTTGCCCAGGTTGGAGCACAGTGGCATAATCACAGCTCACTGAAGCCTCCACCTTCACAGGCTCAAGCAGTTCTCCCGCCTCAGCCACTTGAGTAGCTGAAAATGCAGGTGTGCACCACCACACCTGCACACCCGGCTTTTTTTTTTTTTTTTTTTTTTGAGATGGGGTTTCGCCAAGTTGCCCAGGCTGGCCTCAAACTCCTGAGCTCAAGCGATCCACTCTCCTCAGCCTCCCAAAGTGTTAGGATTACAGGCGTGAACCACCACACCCCACCCTGTTCTTTTTAATAGTTTCTAGTTCTTGCAAGTTTCAATTATATCCTTCAACAGATCTGTAGTTCTAATGGGTCAGTTTCTGTCATCAGTAATTGTGTGTGTTATTTTATCTCTCCAAGTATCTGGTTATCTTTGTGTATCAGGAATTATATTTGAAAATGTATCTGTAGAAATAATTTCAAGGCCTTAGATAACCCATCTTCTTCCAGATAGAACTTTTGTCTTGTTTCTGCAGGCATCTGGGGACATTAGCAATCTAGGACCACTCTAATTCAGTCTCAGGAACTGTGATTTTCTGGGGCCAGCCACAGTACCAGTACTTGAAGTACTAGTTCCAGTCTCTGAGACAGCAGATTTTTTTTCAGTTAACCCTGATTACCACGGCCTAGTTCTTGTGGCCTCAGAACACATCAGAAGGTATTACCAGGCTTTCCATTAGGGGCAGGCCCTGGACTTCCATCGTCGTCCCTTAACTTCATGAGACAATCAAAAGTCTGTTCAGTCTCTCAGTTGCCCATTCCTGATACAATAAGCAGCCCAGTTGCCAAGCCCAACTACCCAGCTCTCAACTGGATTTTCATCTTCTCCTAGATCATGGCCCAGGAATGCTTTACTAGTTTGTTAGCTTTCTGCTGCCTTCACAGATAAATATTTTTGATTTTTCAGTATTTCTAGCCTTTCTTGAGGGTGGATGGTTGGCGCAATATTTTATTTGAATTGTTGAGATTACTATTACTAGAAGCAGAGCCTGAAAAATTTTTATTTTTAATTTTAATTAATTCATTTATGTCCAAATTTATCTGATTAAATTCACTCATTTTTAATTCCAAGTTTTTTGGGATTTGGGTTGAAGTAATTTTCTTCTAGTTTATAGCAATACAGTATACTATGTACTATTGCTACATTATTAATGTATTTAGGGGTTTTGGTGGACTAATATATGATCACTTTTACACAGATATCATCTTATGATATCAAACTTAGATTTGATGAAATGAGTTGGTAAGCTTCATATCTTTTATATATTGTGAAACCTTGAAATTACATTTGGAAGTATCTTTATGAATGAATTTTGGCAATTTGTATTTCCATTTATATCATTTAGGTTTTCAATTATTTAACCCCCAGTCATCTACAGTTTTATAAATAGTCTCATATATATAAAAGTATGTTTAAATTCTTTTTCCTACTGTGTGTATTTGTGTTTTCTCTCATCCCTTATAATTTATCTTTTAGCAAATGTTTTTGTATTTTATTTTTCTAAAAAAGCTAACCTCAGTTAATAACAAAAATGGAAATTAAGAAAGCAAATGGGAAAGAAGAGGAGAAAACTGTATAAACTCTATAACACCAAGATCAAAGAGCTATTTAAAATGAAAAGAATGTGGATCGAGTGAATACATGCATGCAAATACTATAGCAAATCATATAAGTAAGAAAGGCAGGACACTGAAGTTACAACTTTATAAAAATGTAACCTTTGTGTTAGCAAAGATTAAAAGCAAATAATGAACGTAAAAATAGCTAAAGTTTAGTGACTCATGAGATGCTTGTCATTCATTATTTAAACTGACTGTTACTTAACTTTCTCTTCCTTTCCCCAGAAATTTCTTGTGGGCTACCACCCACCATAAACAACGGAGATGTCTTTAGTGCTAACAAAGAGTATTTTCACTATGGATCTGTGGTGACCTACCGCTGCAGTCTTGGAAGCGGAGGGAGAAAGGTGTTTGAGCTCGTGGGTGAGCCCTCTATATACTGCACCAGCAATGAAGATCAAGTGGGCATCTGGAGCGGCCCAGCCCCTCAGTGCATTATACCTAACAAATGTACGCCTCCAAATGTGGAGCTTGTTATACCAACAAATGTACGCTCCAAATGTGGAAAATGGAATATTGGTATCTGTCAACAGAAGCTTATTTTCCTTAAACAGTTGTGGAGTTTAGGTGTCAGCCTGGCTTTGTCATGAAAGGACCCCCGCTGCGGTGCAGCACACAGGCCCTGACAAAATGGGAGCCAGAGCGGGCTGTTGCTCCAGGGTGAGTCTGACTGAGGCTCAGAAGGTCCCTGCAAATGACATGCATTGCTGTTGGATCAGGATAGTATTTGTTCAGGGGTGGGATGTACTGAGCAGAGTCGGAGCAAATTTTTCTAGACAGTGAACATGAAATTCAGAAGGTATGTGTACATACACACATGTGCTGAAATTCAGAAGCAAAGTCAACCTGGGCAAGGAATATGATGTTTCTTTGGGGTTCTTATAAACAGATCTGTCAATTACTTTTGAGTATAATAATTGTTGATACAAAAGCAGTGATTCCTCTGGCCAGGCACTATGATACATACATGTGAATTGTAACCCTTTAAACAAAGTTATTAGGTAGTTACCAGTTGTTCTATGTTTGTCTGTTTTGTTTTGCTTGAGATACTGTCTTGCTCTGTCACTCAGGTTGGGCTGCAGTGGTGCGATGATGGCTTACTTCAACCTCTGCCTCCTGGGCCGGGTTGCACCTCCTGCCTGAGTCTCACAAGTAGCTAGGACTATTGGTGCATGCCACCATGCCTGGTTAAGATTTTTATGTTTTTTTGTACAGATAGAGTCTCACTATTTTACCCAGGCTGGTCTCAAACTCCTCAGCTCAAGCAACCTACCCACCTTCCTGGCCTCCCAAAGTGCTGGGATTATCGGCATGAGCCACCACGCCGGGTCTCGATGTTTTACAGAGAATATGTGCCTTAGAGAGCGCTCAGATAACTTTCTTTTATTATTATTATTATTATTATTATTATACTTTAAGTTCTAGGGTACATGTGCATAATCGTGCAGGTTTGTTACATATGTATACTTGTGATTGGTGTGCTGCAATCACCAACGGCCAGCACCTATCAACTCGCATTTACATCAGGTATGCACCCCAGAGCAATCCCTCCCCTCTCCCCACCCCCCCCCATGATAGGCTCCCAGTGTGTGTGTTCCCTTCCTGAGTCCAGGTGATCTCATTGTTCAGTCACCTATGAGTGAGAAATATGCGGTGTTTGGTTTTCTGTTCTTGCGAGAAGGTTTGCTGAGAATGATGTTTCAGCTGTATCCATGTCCCCACAAAGGACACAAACTCATCCTTTTTATGGCTGCATAGTATTCCATGGTGTATATGTGCTACATTTTCTTAATCCAGTCTGTCACTGATGGACATTTGGGTTGATTCCCAAGTTCCTGCTTATTGTGAATAGTGCCACAATAAACATACATGTGCATGTGTCTTTATAGCAGCATGATTTATGATCCTTTGGGTATATACCCAGTAATGGGATGGCCATTAAGTATGGTACATCTAGTTCTATATCCTTGAGGAATCACCATACTGTTTTCCACAATGGTTGAACTAGTTTACAATCCTACCAAGAGTGTAAAAGTGTTCCTATTTCTCTACATCCTATCCAGCACCTGTTGTTTCCTGACTTTTCAATGATTGCCATTCTAACTGGTGTGAGATGGTATCTCATTGTGGTTTTGATTTGCATTTCTCTGATGGCCAGTGATGGTGAGCATTTTTTCATGTGTCTGTTGGCTGTATGAATGTCTTCTTTTGAGAAATGTCTGTTCATATCCTTTGCCCACTTTTTGATGGGGCTGTTTGTTTTTTTCTTGTAAATTTGTTTGAGTTCTTTTTAGGTTCTGGATATTAACCCTTTGTCTGATGAGTAAATAACTTTCTAAGATACTAACTTGCAGACAAAACTGAAATGCAAGTCCACCTCACTCCAAGCCTTGGCTTTGCTAATCAACATTCCAATATGCCATCAAAACTTACTCTAGATACTTTCAAGGAGTGAGGGATTTCACGCAGGTTGTATTAGTCTGTTCTCACATTCCTGTAAAGAACTACTTGAGACTGGGTAATTTATAAAGAAAAGAGGTTTAATTGACTCAGAGTTCTGTAGGCTGTACAGGAGGCATGGCTAGGGACACCTCAGGAAAGTTACAATCATGGTGGAAGGCAAAGAGGAAGCACACATATCTTCATATGGTTGGCAGGAGAGAGAGAGAGAGCAAAGTAGAGGTGCTACACACTTTTAAACAAGCAGATCTCGAGAGAACTCTATCACAGGACAGCACTAGGGCAATGGTGCTAAACCATTTGTATTTGTCAATTATCTCAATAAAGTTGGGAGAACAAAAAAAAAAAAGAAAAGAAACCACCTCCATGATCCAGTCACTTCCCGCCAGGCTCCTCTTCCAACAATGGGAATTACAGTTTGACATGAGATTTGGGTGGGGACACAGAGCCAAACCATATCACAGCTAATAGGTCACAAAGATGTTAGAAGGGCAGGAAAAGCAATAAGACGAAGGCAGAGTTACCAGAGATCAGGAGCTGCTGTGGTTTCAGTCTAAAGCACAGGAGCCTGTACGATGCTGAAATGGCCAGCTCCTCCCACTGACAGGCAGCTCCCTGAAAGCTGCTAATGCTGCAGGAGCCACCACTGCTGCCAGAATGCAGCTGATATTGTTGGAGCCAAAGTCATTGGCATCACTAGAATTGAAGCTGTAGCTGCTCACTAAAGTCATCTATACTGCCACTGTCTGAGCCACTTCTAGAAGTAGAAGAGATTCTGCCATTATCCAGCCTTTTAATTTTGGTATATATGCCTCCAACTGACAGAACCTAACTAGAGCCCAGCTATCAAGGAAGACAAATGATGGTAGTTTTAAGCCTTCCATTGCTAGCAGTCGAAAGACAGTGCAGAAGTGTGAGGCTGGGGGCCAACAGAAATTTAACCAGCACAGCACCTCAATATTACATCACCAAGCATTGATTAGACAAGAGAAACACTGGGTGATGAGTCCTGAAATGGGATATTACAACATCGAGTATTTATATTACTCCTTAAAGAAGTCATTTTTCTAGTCCAATCCTCCATCTGATGCTTGAGAAAGCTGAAGTCCAGAAAAGGGAACTGGTCTGCTCAAAGCCAAACTGAAATTATTTTTTCCATTTTATAACAGTTTTATGTAATTTAGTTGAGATCCAAATGTGTCCTTGATTTCCTGAGTTCAGATCACATATTAAGAGAGAGCCAGAGCTTTTCATGCACACAATATGTTGTGTGTGAAATATACACTCTCATTATGGTGAGCAGGGTCTTTTAGATTTTGCTAGACAGTTAAGTAACCTTCTCACCGCGTGAAATGAATGACTAGGGCAGCACCTTGCTTCAGACAAATAAAAGAGGAGACCCATAGTTCATTACCACCCCATGTCAGGTGTAATGCTGAGAGAGAAGCCTTGACAGGAGATGAGAGTAGATGTGTGCACGTTGTTTGATGTAATGTGTGATAGGTGACGGAGGGAACTAGATGAGACATGGGCAGGGGCACCTTTATTGCCGAAAATGCAAAGACTAAATTGATGACGCCTTTCTAGGAAAGGAAGTACGAAGATATAAAAAGTCATCATTCCTCCCAATTTTGTACTGGGTGAACAGTAATTGGAAGCATTCTACAAGGAACTGTCCATTGCGGAATGTTAGTTGCATACTTAGGATGAAAAGCAATGAATTGAGGATATTCTCTCTGTTTTAGTCACAGTTCTGCAATGTGTCAGTTCTATGACTGATGGCAAGCACACATCTTCCGCCTGTGTAATAGTTTGAATATCAATACAGCAGCTTCTATCTCACTTTATTGGCTATATAGATCACTATTATCTTACAGCTTATCACTGATAAAATACACATTTTGTTTCTCTGTAAGGTTAAATGCCCAGATGGTCCTGTAAGGAGCAAATTAACCACAGCACAAATTTGAGCCAGCGGCAAAGTACCAAGACCAGAGCACACAGGACTCAGAGGGTCATGCCTTCATGCCAACACTCAGTGTGGCGGACTGGAGCCCTGCAGCCTCCAGATGGGGCGTGCCTAGACTGGTCTCAGTTTGAGATTTAGCTGCGCTTTATTCTTCTACATGCTGGCTGTTTTTTGTTCATTTTTCTTTTATCAGTAGAACCTGTGATAATTTCAGCCAACTTCAAATATCGTGCAAAGTATCAATGATTCTCATTGAGCAAAAGGATTTTGCTGTGGATGAAGGTGAGTGAGCTTGTTCTGACTCAATGGGACATTGAAAACAAATGGAATTTCAGTTTTAAAAGGGAGATTTGGTTTGGCTTAAAAGAAAGACACACACACACACACACACACATATCTGAGAGATGAACTTTGAAAGTATACATAGGAAGAAAGGAAAGAAATGCACAAAACTAATAACATGAGATATGAAGAGGAAACTGGAACATATATTAACTGGCAAGTTCAAAGGCAAGTATAACTACTGGTTATGAATATATGGGTAACACATTAAGTAAAAAATATCAGCCAGGCACGGTGGCTCATGCCTGTAATCCCAGCACCTTTGGGAGGTTGATCTGAGGCGAACAGATCACCTGAAGAGAGGAGTTGGAGACAAACCTGGCCAACATGGTGAAACCCCGTCTCTACTAAAAACACAAAAGTTAACTGGGCATGGTGGCATTTGCCTGTAATCCCAGCTACTGAGGCATCAGAATCACTGAACCTGGGAGGCAGAGTTTGCAGTGAGTCGCATGGCACCATTGCAACTACAGCTGGACAAGAGGAAATCTATCTCAAGAAAAACAAACCGTGTTTTACAAGCAAAAGAACATGAGTAATTTAGAGAGTCCTAAGTGAAAACTGCAAGTAACAAAAAGCTTATTCTTAATAACTGGGATCATTTAAGAATCATTTCAGTAAATTCTTAAAAACCATCTATAGTGAAATTTGTAATAGGAATGAAAATGTAAAAATCAGCATTTTAAAAAAATTCAGTCACATATAATCTGGCTATTCATGGGCTTGGGCTCTGAGCTGGGGTCCTGATAGCTGCTGCTATTTCCGGCGAGGTCATTACCTTGTTTATGTCCATCTAGTGCTTCTCTTTCTACAGATGCACAGGGTGCACATTCCCCACGGAGCTGACCAGCATGGGCAACAAAGCACCTGATCCCAAAATGTTCTCAGAACTGGCAGCCTCCAAAATGCCAGCACCCAGTAACAGTTAGAAGGGCATCAGAGCTCAACAGAAACTGAGAATTTTCGACTATTGCATACAAAATCAAGTCCTCTCTTCATTCTTTTTTTCCCTAGAATATTCATGCTTTTACTTCAGCAGCCCAAACTGCCCTTGTGAGCTTTCACGCGCCATCACAGATGCGGAGATGAAAGGACAATCTCGTTCCCTTCACCAGCTATTTCCCACTTTTCCAAACTGGGAGCGCTTACTTTAAGGTTCCAGCATCAGAGTTAGGAAGGCACGGCATTAGAAGACTGGGTTTCTAATAATGACAATGAGTGATTTATCAGGTTATCATGGAGTAATCAGTGAAACTCCAAGCCTGGGTCCTGGGTCAAGGAGATGGTGCCCATGTCATGACCACCTTTTTCAATTCAAGCAGGACTGTCATGTGACCAAGCTAATGCATTTTGCCATTCTATATTGCTCCCTTCTGGAGACTGTGAGCTTCCAGAATAACGTAGCCTGTGCAACTCTGCCACCTGCTGGCCTCCGGTCCTCAAAATCCTGAGATTTGGGGCAGGGCCTTAGATTGTGAACCAAGAGTCCTCTTGGCTGAAACAGCTCACTATTCACTCCTATTTTCTCCTTTAGATTTCAATTAAAAGGCAGCTCTGCTAGTTACTGTGTCTTGGCTGGAATGGAAAGCCTTTGGAATAGCAGTGTTCCAGCGTGTGAACGTGAGTAATAGGAGTAACATTTCAGGCCAGTCTCTCCCCTTCATCTGTTCAGTATTTGACCCATGACCTCCCCTAATGGGGTTCTTCAATTTTCTAGTCCGAATTATTGATTTCAAAATTGCTTGTTTTAATAATGTTTGGCTGTGAATCAATGTGTACATCACCTGTCTTTGGAATCATCTGATCTGTCTCTGTCCTTC